AATTCCGAGTCGAGGTAACTTCTCAACACCAGCGCATTGTGTGGCGGTGCACCGTCATGTTGGAACCATACTGTAGTACCAACTTCAGCTTCTATACGCCTGATGTCAGGCACCACATTTTCGTGTAACATTTGCAAGTATGAGGCGCCTTAAACAATTTAATAATAAAAATTGTTCTTACCTCTTTTTGAGTGAATAATCTGTGAAATTCCACCCAGAACATACGATCCATTTAAAATCATAACGTCTTACACTATTTCTTTGTTGATCCTACGCTACAGTTCAGGTTCTTCTAACGACAATGTGTAGCAACCTTGACCGAACTGTTTCAAAGGAAGTTCATGTGAACATGCTGAATTCATTATACCCAAAAGACTGAATAAATGCACAATATACATAAGTCATTGATTGATTCTGTGGGGAATAAACTCACCTAGACACGAGGATTCCATCCTGATGCTGGTACTACTTGGTCCCTGACGAATGACGTAAGCAACGAACCCTTACCTTTTGAGTTTCTCGTTATGTTGGGCAAATTTCTTTTCGGCAGAGATAAAACGTTACATATGAGAAAATGTCAGGGTAGTTCGGGGTAAGAAATCTTTATGCAACGTGCTCCTGCATGTAGTTGATCAGAATTGAAACGCCACGTTTTTCCGTTCACCAAACCTTATTTTTTGTGCCCGATTTGTTTTTCCAAAAATTCCCTTTAGGCAGACTTGTTGAACTTTGCGAAGGTTTTACCAATCTTTCCCTGAACTGGACCAGTGAATCGTGAAATATAATCACACAAATCGCAAGCAAAGCTTAACGACGTTGTCTAATCAGTCTATTCGTTTATCGGTCCGACATGTTGCAAGCGCTGGGTTTTACTACTTTTCTGGCACCATTTTGGAGACTGAATAGAAAAAAAACGATTTGAGCCCCTTGATGTGCTCTCTTAAAAAGCTAGTGCATGGACTGCAACCTGATTGAATGAAACGTAGAGTATTGTGTTGTGGTCATGGGTAATTCCTGTTTTCCCATTGTGCGTTCCAATTGGTCTCCTGTGTCCCTAATGAACAATACCCCGTCGGTTGGATCCGAAGATGGCTATTAAATCACGTGACTATTAGTATGAGATGAAATGTGAGCTTTTCTAAAAACGCTACTCGTTTATCTTATTATCTTAAACACGGGAACAAGGAGAAACTTTCACTAACGGTGAAGGAATTCAACGACACTCGTGCAACGAATGTTTCGAGAACCGTTAGTGAAAGTTTCTCCTTGTGCCCGTAGTAC